TAGATACTCAAATTTGTATGTCTGATGCCTACATTCACTTACTCATTAAAACATCAACAATAATTTAATAAGAATGAAGATACTATTCTGAGGGTTCCTCCCCCTTCCCTCCCATGAAAAGGAGCAAAGTTCTTTCAAAGACCTTTACAAACTGGAGACAAGCTGGGCATTGTGGCACACACCTTTAATCCCAGCACTTGAGAGGCTGAGGCAGGTGGACCTTTGGGAGTTAGAAACCAGTCTGGTCTAGAGTTCCAGGACAGCCAAGGCTGTTACACAGAGAATCATGTCTTGAAAAAGTAAAAACAAAACAAAACAAACCAAAAGATAACAACCCCACAACCACCATTAACAACAAAACCCAAAAAACAATAACAACAAAACCCACTAGCTTTGCTTAGTGCTGGCTCCTGTAACTCCTCACTTCACCTCTCCTTTACTAAAGAATATATGATGGTTTGGATTGGACAACTGACTCTGTACAGCCAGATAGCAAACAAGTGGATTTCTACATACTGGCAGCGATCACTCCACTACATTGCCAAGCAACAGATTAGCAAATCCAATCACAGAGTTCTTGAAGGATCAAGGTGGAAGAAATCAGCTTTGTAGATGTACCTGTTGCACTGGTGGTTGCTTTGCCAGGTAACCTGGATTGTCCTGTTTGCACCTGTTAAACAAGAGGCAGGATGAGAGATCTCTAAGGTCACTCGTGCTTTGAAATGCTATTATTCTATGCAAGAGTTGGGAGAAAACTACAAAATGCATCCTCTAACTCCCACAAAGCCCAAACAACATACCAGGGTGCAAAAACTAGACTGACCTCTTATAGAGGTCTTATTGTTCAAAGTAGAAAGAAATGAGGGCTGGGGTGGGTTGGGACACAAAACAAAAATCCTCCCCCAAACGATTTTTTTTTAAAGCAGCATCTAATTACGGAAAACTGCTCGGTTTGAAGTAGCCATGTTCATGAATTGTTGAATATCCATGATGTGCCAATTCAATTTAAGTGGCTAATGTTCTATTCGAAATTATTGCTATAATATTGCTTGCAATCTCTGAAGCCTGGATTGGTGAATCCCGCCTTGGGTGGGCACAAAATGAAGCCAACGTTGAGGCAGGAGACAGTTTACAAACAAACCAAAAATAAAACACAAGTGACGCTGTTAGAGGAAAAGAGAAGCCAACAGATTGCACAAAGATCAAAGGCAAAAAAGAGAAGCTTGTTTGGTTAATGCTGGGGCTTTGGGGCATTTCATGTACTTGCGAGGCCCGTCCATCCATCCACACCACACATCGTAGCCAAGCTATTCTAAACTGATGACAAATCCAGCTCCAGGGCGGACAGGGCGCAAAGCGGGGATCTCGCACTGGTCTCAGAATCCAAGATCTGGGGCCAGATCTCCCTTCTGGAAGAACGATGGCACTTCCCCTAAGATGACTGTTAAATAAAGCAGGGTCTTCATTCTCTTCGTCCGAGAAGAAAGGAGCGTTGCTCCAGAAATCAACAGGAAAGGGGCTAAGGAAAATGGGAAGCGCCTTTCCCATCTTTTTAAATTTCCCGCACCCCCTTTTCTCTCCGCCTCCCCTCACAAGCCTCTGCTTCCAGCGGCAGCTCTAGGATCCGGCACCGAGGTGGTCGGGCGGGACAGTCTTAGGAAAAGTAGGAGGGCCTGGCCCGATGAGTATCTCGGTGCCCGATTTTTGCTGTCTTCGGCGGCAGTTCCTCCTCCGCTCGGTTACTGGATTGCACACGCGGCCGTGCGCTCGGCTCTCGATTGCTCCGGCCT